TGAAGGGGGGAGCCTAGTAAACATAATGTTCTTTGTGTAATTGTAGATTAATGATACCAAAAAAAAAAAAGATATCACTGATGTTAAGATGCTATTTTATAACAGTAATATGGCTCACACTAAAACTGAAAACTTTTCAAATTTGGCCTCTGTGTGGCTCTAGCTGGGTGACCCTTAGAAAAATAACACCCCTTACTGGGTTCACTTTGGGACTGAAGTGATCACATGTAATACTACCAAGCAGCCATTAAGTGGCAATCTTCTACACTATTTTCCATGCCATTCAGTCATAGATTAAATAGTTTCTAAAATTGAATTCAAGATGTAATGGAAGTCAAGATGTTATTTTGTAATAATATTGTGGCTCACACTACCTAAAAATGGACCCTTCCCATATTCTGCCTCTGCCTAGCTCTAGCTGGGCAACCCTGAGAAAAAACACTCCTTACTGGGCTCACTTTGGGATCAAAGCAATTGCATGCAATAATGCCAGAAAACCACTAGATGGCAATAGTTTCCATGCCATTCAGACATAGAAGAAGCAGTATCTAAAACAATTTAAGATGTCACTGAAGATGCTATTTTATAATATAATGAGGCTCACACTATCTAAAAATGGACGCTTTCAAATTCTGCCTCTGCCTAGCTCTAGTCTGGCCAGCCTGAGAAAATTACAACTACTTACTGGGGTTATTTTGGAACTGAAGAGATTGCATGCAATACTGCCAAGGAGCCACCAGGTGGCTATCTTTTACACAATATTTTCCATGCCATTCAGACAAAGAAGAAACACTGTCTAAAATTTAATTTATTACTAAAGTTAAGATGCTATTTTATAATAATAATGTGGCTCACAGTATCTAAAATGAACCCTTTTCAAATTTGGCCACTGCCTAGCTCCAGCTGGGCAGCCCTTAGAAAAATAACCCCCTTTACTGGGTTCACTTTGGGACTGAAGCGACCACATGCAATACTGCCAAGAAGCCACTAGATGGCAACCTTTCCTGTCTTCGAAATTCATACCCAGCTGGATTACAATATATATTGCCACTAGATGGCAATCTTTTACACAATATTTTCCATGCCATTCAGACATAATAGAAAGAGT